TATCATGAGCTTTCCGTCTGAAAGAACCAAGCAGCTTTCGAGCGGATTGCCTTGCTCTTGATGGCCGTGGCAGGCGAAGTGAATCCAGGTCGCCTTTCCCAGCGCGCGTGTCACATTGACCAGGTTTGCTCTTTCGCCTTCGAGAACAATGAGCTTGTCCTCAGGCAGAGCTTGGCGCATGCCCGTGAGTTCCTCTTGAACGGAGGGGAGCGCTACAAAGTTGTCCACCTTGGGCTGGGCTACCATAAGCACGCGCCGTGGCTTGGCAGGATTATGATCGCGTATGTTGCGGTAGCACCACACGAGACTCTGCAGCAAAACCAAATACGACGAGGTAATGAGGTCGGGTGCGCCAGGCTCGTCAGGATTGGCAGGAACGGCAGCGTGGATGGGCAACAGACCAAGAGGACCTGTGGGTATCCACCACACGCGTGGCAGAGAGCCTAAGCGCAGGGTGGACAACACCGCCAAAATCGGCGCAACAATATCCCTCCATAGCTCATTGATGATTGTACGGATGAGGCGTTCTAGGTACTGTGTGCCGAGCTGGTCCTTTGGTACGCTGACAGCTTTGTGCAGCACGAGAGCTATACTCTTCAGACGATCGCGCGAGGTGCCCGGTAGTGGTACATGTCGGACCGGGTGCTTCTGAGTCACGATGAGCGCAGAGCAGCCGAATTTGCTAGCGACCAGGAAAATGGGAGTGCCACCATGAAATACGGGTTCGCGCAACTCTTCAAATGTCATTGGTTGCAAGAAATTGAAGAACCCGTCGATCTGTCGTATTCGTGCAACAAGACTGTCCCACCGCTCGGCAAGATGTCTACGATTGCGAATGCCCGTCAAAGCATCGTCCCCCGTTTGAGTGTCTATTTCAAGAGAACGTCCAATTTGCCGCAGTTCGGCGGCGTGAACTGTTTCACCATTGATTGTAAAAGATATACGTGCCCTTCTGGACGCGATATCCCCTGTATTCGAAGTCCTGGACATGACAGGTCAGTGTCAGGCGGTTTCTTGTTGATAGGTCGTATGTTCTTTGTTTGCTCGTCTTTTGTGGTGCAGGCTGATCTGTGCATAAAAGTAAGGATCACAGTCATGTTACTGCATCTCCATGTTATGCTGCAAGTTAGACCATCTCTTTGCTCGAGAGACAAATAATTGGACATTCCGGGACTATTTGTTGCCCTGATGGGTCCTCTGTTCATGATCGCGGAGACGTATGATGCATGTGGTTTCATAAGCGAAGTGCCTAAGCTTTTGTACTTGAGCCTTAGCATGGCCTAAGCGCAACATACATGATGCTGTTTAGACTGATGTTTGGGACGAAGTCTCAATTTCATTGCAGGAAAGATTGACTAAAGCTAAGTGTTACAACACTGCAGGGGAAAAAAGAACATGTTGGTAGTGAAGAAAAATGAGAAAGTACAACGTAGTGCATGGCAATCATCGTGACATGAAGTTGAGCCTGAGCATTGGGAGATGGGCCCATGCGCTGCCTTGACTTTGAGCCTCCTCGAAGGAACCTGAGCAGGCCTAATTGGATCTGTTTAGATACATACAGAGCAGGAGGTAAAGCATGTGACTCACCAAGCTACATAGTGATAGGTAGCATTATCAATTATTTACAGTGAATCTCTTGTCGAGATGTGTGTTCACACATGTCAACTATCCAGACAAATAAGAAAGGGTAACATGAGATGTGATGAAATGTTCCTTACAGACTTCTTTGTGCAGTTGATGCAGGGTTGCCCCCCCTCGCATTTTTTTCTTGCTACAAGATACTTCAGTATATATCTATCACAAAGCCAAGTGATGACATACCGTGCACGGCACCTGTTACACTGTGATGTTGCCCGTGGGGCTCCCCTAGAAGGTAGAGGAGTTTGGACCAGAGTCAGGGGACCCATAGGTTGGTTGATTACTGGCACTGGGGGAGGGGGTTGGGCTGGGACCTGCTGAGCAGACTGGTCGATGATGAGCGGAGTTGTCGTGAAAAGTGGTTGCTGCTCCTGAGACATTCTTGTTGCGTCAGGAGAGGAGCAACGGGAGTGTCTTGTCTCATATTGGCTCAATGTTGTGGAGTTATTATACCCAAGAGATCCTGTTACTCGCCACACAAGCATAAGTGAATGTCCTTGTCTGCAGGGGAGTGAACACGTACGGCTTCACAGCTCCGGAACATCATGAGGCGTGATGACTGAATGCGCCTTCCTTTTCTGGCGGAAATGTTGGGTTGCACGAAGCAGTGCGCCCCATTACGGCGGTGATAAAATTAATATCTCACCAGAGGTTTATGAGCTCGTCTTCAAATGTATTAGATCCACGGCCTGTCACACCATCGGAAATGCGCGTAGTTGACAGATTGATCTCGTGAGGTCGGCCGTTCGGCAGAAGCACGTTATTCCGCCCCAGGACAGAGAATGGGGCGCTCGACCTAGACCGATGCAGCGTGTGGAGTCCCTGAAGTATCACTCCTGGCCTCATCACTCTTTCCTGCGACGGCGGATGAAAGTCCCCAGTAGTCCTCGCGCTGAGCTTTTCGTGTGGCAGGCGGCAAAATTCGTTTTACCGCACACCACCCGCGCGGTTTCCCAATTAGGAACACCTCCGCGATATCCCAAAGTCGCACAGTTCCTTGAGTCTTCCTCTTCAAAGACAAGCATCGTATAGTTGACAATGATTAACAAAGCTGATATGCTTTCATTGTCGGTTGCACGGAGCCGAGCGTTCAAAGACACCGCGGGGGGAATTTCAGCGAGCTTCGATATGCGTGTGTGCATGTGCAGGACGTGGGCGCGTTCCAGAGCGTGAGAAGCACTCCACCTGACAGCCCGCACAGGATTCAATATTAATCCCTGGCGCGAATCGCCCGCTTTTCAGTTGCCTCGTTGAGCTGGCGGGTCGGGCGATAACGATCTGTCCTCACCGCGGTGATCGCTTCTAGTCTCGATCGTATCGCGTGTCGGGTCGTCCGGTGACGTGTATTCATTGCTGCGCCTGATCTTCACAAGGGAAAACTTGCAACGCGGCCCGGCGCCTTGTATCCTCATCGCGGTGACGAGCTGTGCCGGTCCAGACCACAATTGAGCCAAAGCATACACAAAGTCCAGTTGCCAGTACATAGCCCAAGCCTCGCGCATGGAAAGTTCATTGTGGGTTTTGCTCCCTCGACAAGGGAAACCATTCCTTCAAAGCGATTACCCCGTTACAATGAACGATCCCTGCCGGACAGCAAGAGACCGGGTTCTGGCTGCGGCCCTTTCGCCCGTTCTTCGCTTCCCTGACTGTGGCGGTACGGCGTGTGAAGGCCCGGGAGTAAATGGAAGCAGTATCGCCGTTCTTTTCCTTTTACGTCACACAAGTCATTTACGCCAGGGCGAGTTTACACAGACTCGGGGTGCGTTCGGCCCCAGATACCACCCTCCATTTCACCTGCTATTCGGCCACCTGGCAACCTTCGTGTGTAAATTTGATAATTCATCTCAAAAATCGCCTGTTCCAATGGGGGCTTGCATCTTCTCGGGAGGATGATCAGGCTTCCATCTTGCCGCACCCTGATTCTTTGCAGGAGCAGGCCCGAAGAAGCACGCGCAAAACCGTGACGCGCAAGGAAGCTACGAACCCCTGCGTCTCTAGGGCAACGGAATCTCAAGAAACTGCGAGTTGGCGCCCGATACATTTCGAAAAGATACCTGTCATCAAGCATCGAAACCCGCTGAGGATCGTTGCCCAAAACCACAATCCCGGCTCTTTTGCCCGTTCCGAGGGCCGTTGCAGGCGTTTCTAACACGTTCAAAGTTTTGACCAAAATTAGTCCCGGAAGCTTGCTTGTGAGTTGCGGCACATGCACATCCTCGATCCATCCCTTGATGTGTTTTAGTGTTTCAGCCTTTCGCTCTGGCCGAGCTATCTTGACAGGTGACAGCATGCTTATAACAGTGTGTCATCGAGAAGCTGCTATAGACTACCTGATACATCGCTCAGGATCGAGCCGCCGGTTTGGCACTTACTACAGCTTCTTCTTTCTCGCCCGATGAGGGATGGTTGACGTCTCTCATCGAGATCGAGTTTGCCAGGGGCCGCTCGTCGTCCGGCTCGCTCGGCGCTGCAGAGTTGTGGACCCGCTCAAGCCTTCGGAGCGCTTCTAAAATCTGGCGGGGATCTGGTCTGGGCAGCGAGATTGCGGCCCTTCTTTGCAGGATCTGGCTTTTGGCGTCATCTGATGCTGTCCGGCTCACCGCGAAGTGCAGACCGTCTTCGCGTGCGGGGTCCTCATGCGGAAAACGCGTGTATATGCAAAGTATGACTGGCATCATCACGGCCTTGCCGGATTTAGCCTAGAAGCACAAACGGGTGGGGCACCTCTCCCCTCTTTTTCTTCTCTTCCCTCCTTGTTCCCACTACACCTCGCACCTTTCGCTCTCCGCTGCATTGCTTTCTCTCTGTGAGAGGCCCAACTACGAATACTAACTCTGGCTGGACCTACTATGTCGACGACCACTATTGCAGGCCCCCCGGCCCTGACCACTCCAACGGCCACTGGGCTGCTCATAATGACTGAAATGGACGCCCTCCGGCTTTTCGAAGCGGCACGTTTGTATCCAACACACTTTCCCATGATCCCGAATCGCATCGAAGACTGGAAGATCCGCTTGGACTTGTTTGTGCATGGGTCGGTATTCATCTTCCAGCGCGGACCTGAATTCGTCAGGTGGACGGATGGTCGTCGCTGGATGCCAAATCAGCAAATCGGTCCTTTTCTCTGCTATGAGGAGGCAAACAGGCGGCAGCCCCCCCAAGGCAATTATCGTGCTGGTGTCAACAGGTGACTATCTCGGCGAAAAGCCCGCTTTTGTAGAGCTGACGCTGTTTCAGGGCCGAGCGCGGTTACAACAGACCAGAGTGCGAAAGACGGGAAGGCGGCCTGCAGAAATGGACCTACACCGTTCATGTTCTCCCGAACCCCCAGGTGCCAGACCATCGCCTGGTCTGGGAAATCGTGTGGTATCTGCAGCCCTTGTCGTTCACACCCACTGGCAGCGGGTTGATCCCTGTCTCACGACACGACTTCTTGCGAACGATCAACATTCCCCAATACCTGTACTTCATGGAAGGCACTCTCCCGCTTCCGAGGCAGACGAGCAACATCGTTCGTATCCCGGAAACTGGCCTTCTACGCACTCTGCCCCCATCTATGCCGCCCATAGCGTCTATTCCTCGCCCGATGTCTGTTCCACCTCAGCACATGCGCAGGCCATCCGCTGCACAGTCCGATGCCAGTGACGATAAGTCACCATCTCCACGCCCTCGTTTCCACCTCCCACCATTCACGGACATTATCAACTCCGGTCGCAGCCGCACTATTGCATATGATCATGCACGCCTTCCATCCTATGCTGAATTCATCTCTCGCACTCAAAATCTACCCGAATCGCCCTTTGAACCCTCTCAGTCTCGTCGGTAATCTAGCTTCGTGCATATATGTGAGCCCTTTCGCCGTATGCCCATCCCTATGCACTAACACAAGGACAGAATCGGCATTACTGCCAATATCTCTAATTCAAACCAGCGCCTAATTGAGATTTGCATCTGGGATGTACCTCGCAATGTAAGATATGCTTTATCTCCAATCCTTGAATAATCACTTTTTTGCTGTTTATGATTTGTTACCCTACTCCCTCATATTTCTTTGTACGCGCGTTATTGTCAGATGACTAATGCATAATGTGATTGTTGATTCCGAGCCCCTAACTTCTCTAACTTCTTTGCTCCACCTGTGGGCGGAAGTACTTTTCAATTGCCTCGTTCGTTGCCACTTGGTCAGCCCGGTGCAGCCCGTCACCCCGGTCAATGAGCTAGAGGCAAGATGAGAAGCAGCGCATTAACCGTCGCTCGTCCTCTACCCAAGGGTCACCCGGTTGAAAACAAATGATCAGCGTTCTTCCACATTCCGATTCTCTTTGTTTCGGCTTCATGTTTTCGGAGGTTCTGTGAGGGCCATGGTCGGGTCTTGGACAGAAGTCAGAGTGCCTCGCCAGATATAAAGTACGTCTGTGTCAACCCTTTCTACTACCTTTCGGAACTCCCACACACTGCAGGAGAACAAACTTTTCACTCTTTAATAACACCGTCGCCACAACTGGTGTGCAATCTGTCGACGGACGATACCCCTTTGCGCAGGGGACGCGTCCAAACGACTTCTGATATGAAACAGTTGCTGTCTCACTCCTTGTTGCTTTCAGGCGACTCGAGCATCTCAGCTCAACACGAGCAGTCACCGCACCTTCAACCTTCAAAGGGATATGGCGATTCCCTGGGTTAGATCACCACTCTAGACGCAAGGCATAGCCTAATAATCTTCGGAACATGTTGGTTTCCCCTTTGGCGACCGAGGACATCCATGCCCCGCTTGTTCTGGCCCAAAACGAGTAAAGGACCCCCCTCCTCGAACTCTCACATTTAGTTCTTTACCGACTTCTTCCATTCCATGAGTTGCAGAAATGAATGGCGTAGAGGAAGGAGTTGCGGAGGGAAAGAATAATTATGATTATCTCCATAGAGTATGCGTCTTCCGATGCTTACATCATTACATGAATATACCGTTATCTTGAATGAGACGTCAAATGTTTGTGCACGAATGGATATTACGATCGAGTGGGCATTTGTCTGCGTGTATAAGGATAAACCAGCCGGCCCCCGAGAGGCTAAGGAATGAAGAGCTCGAGATTACTGGTACTGACTTTGATAAGAGAGTGTACGACCCAGCGTCGGCCATTGTGCACAATTCTTCGTGTATATCGTTGGAGTTCGTTGATGCCATGGCATGGGCGTGTTTTGTGTCACTGTGTCGTGTGGCTACGACCAGAACTGGGGCGACTCTGTTGCCCGGTGCTCGGTCGACTAGAGGACACGCTCGGGGCGCCAGTACGACCCAAAACTTCTCCAAAAGAAGGAAGTGTCGTAGGCCCCTTCACCGGAGATACAGATGGAAAGATAGAATCCGTTGGGAAAGCGATGGATGCCGGAAGCGTCACAGTCGGATTGTTTGGTGAAGAAATGGATAAAGGCGGGAGCGTGAGATGCGTGACAGGCGAATAGATAGGCGATAAGAGAGTGGGAGTGTTCTGTTGGAGTGGGGCACCAATAGGCGAAATGGGTTGAAGCGTGTCAATAGGTGAGATGGGCTGGCGGGTGTTGATGGGTGACACGGGCCGACGTGATCCAGAGGAGCCAACTTGGCGCATGGTGGTGGGAGACGTCAGTTGGCGTGGACCGCGGCTTGTTGATGGAATGGCGGCTGCGTGAGGCGTGCGATCGCCAAAAGGGACCATGCTCTGGGCAGATGGCAGAGGCGTTTCATCTGTTCCCACCCAAAGATTCGGTGGGAGGACAATGGTCTGTAGCATCGGATCGGTCTGCACCGTGAGGGCGTTTCCGGGGCCATCTCCCGGCGATTTGTACCAGGTTATATGATAGCGTTTGCGGGGGTAGTTTGGATGGTCTGGATCGAACGCGAGCGCAGAGTATGAGTACTTGTGCAGACCGCCGACTTTCGGTGGAAGACCTCGATTGCGACTGCGGCCCACTTTATCGTCTGCTTGCCTGTAACACACTCTTTCAGTGTCCGGAAAACAATACTGTTGAACAGCAAGATCTCACCCTCTGGCCCTAGGACCGCCGTTTTTCCGTGACTCGTACATTGTCACACCTTCCAACTCAAAATACATAAAAACGCGCCCAAACCGATGAGTTCCGGACCAAGCTCTTCCGTCCGTCCACCGCTTGATATGTCCCTGTTCTTCGAAAACGAAGGCTGCGTTCGGGCGAACGAGATTAATGCTTTCTCGCTCATTCAGATGACGGTGGATTAGTGGAAGCCGGCCCTGCCGGACAGCTTCAAAGATGACAAGGATGTCGTATTCGGTCGTTAGATAAATGTTGTCGTGGGTGGGTACCACATCTTGGGCGAAGACTTCGTTGGCTTCGACGTCTCGAAGCCACCTCCGCGTAGAATACATGAAGGTCGGTTGGTTGCAGACAGTTTGATAGTGATACAAGGGGGAAAGTACAACCGGGAGAAGCGAGTGTGCTGATGTGGTATGTGGTGATGGGATACTAAACGAGCGGGGGTACTAAGTTATTGGCGGATCTAGCGGGAAAAAGCTGTGACGACTGGGCGAGAGGCGCACCTTTGTAGGCTGCCAGACACAGAGCCACATACTGCGCACGAAGGTGCAGAGTCAAGTCCTGGCGTTTTCAGCACCGGAGTTGAGAGGCGGCAGCGTGGCATGTGCCAGTGCGGTCTTCCTGCGTTGCACCGGTTGTCGCCCTGCCTCGTCTTCTCGTCGTCTGATTATATTGCTCCCTAATCTGCAGGGTGCAGCTAGTTACGGCGGTAGTCCACGATCTCAAGCTTCTGAGGAGCGCGTGCACCAGTAAGAGAAAACGAACTATGTACAGAACTTTCGTGGTCCGGGTGATGATGGCTGTCCAAGTGAATCCAAGGGTAGGGGCGGACGCAAAGTTGTGCTTAAAGGGGTTGACAATGCAATTTTGCCGAAAGTCGTCGTGTTCATAATTTCTGCCATGCGGGCAGCTTTGACATACCCCCCGTGCAATCTCAGGAACCGAAGGGGGGAAGAAGCCAATAGGGGGCGAGGCCCCATTTGGCCGGACAGGCTCTGTTCCTCTCATCGGGTAACATACTGATTCCGTCAGGGAACGAGAGAGAAGCGCAACGAACTCCATCAGAGGGCTTCTATGTGACTCAGGGCGGATATGTTAGCCCCAAGCCTTATGATGTAGGTCATCCAGTTGTCTTTCTTAGGGCGGGTGTTCATGACTACCAAAGAAGGTGATCGCCATGCCGAAGTTGTAATGAACTGAAGGATAAATATGGTTGCTATGGAGACTTTGACGTCGCTGTCGTAGGGGATTGTAGGCTTCTGTGTCTGGCGATGAGGCAGGCAGAATAGCTTATAGGATTGATACACATCGACACAATACTGCAACAAGTCGCCATGCTGGAGAAAATCGGGATGACATAATGTATCTGTAGTTACCTTCTGCCCGTTGCGGGTGTTCTAGCGTAAGCCGGCGGCGGTCCGACACACTGGTCTAAGTGATGCACTTGTAAAAGGTTGGTGCTCGAATTTTGTTCCGCCTATCTCGCGGCAAATCTAACAAACAAGGTAAATGGTTGAAAAACAACAACCACCCCACAATCCTCCGCGGCTCCTGCTTTGCAGAACCTTAACCTCCGCGCCGCTTGCTCGGTGCCCAAAATGGACGCGTCCTCACCAAATAAATGGGGACGCGCCCAGGGTATTCCGCTTCGCGCGGAAGGGGGAAGCCAGGGACTCTTTGGGTGATAACGGAGATCGGCCGCCGGTTCCGTTGACTTCTTCCCCCTTTTTGAATTATCTCATCGTACTGTGTTGTCGACCAGTTTCTTGTTCCTCTCAACGTATATGACATCTGACGTGTAACCTCAGCCCCGATGTCTCAACTATGGTAACTTTTGACTTTGTGGATGTCACGAAAATCCCTTTGAACGTAACAGAAGCTCTCGGCCATATCCGCGACTCGCTCCTTCGCTGATTTTCTGGATATGAGGTGGAGCTACCTAAAGTCGCCGAGGACACCGTGGTGCAAAAGCAACTCCGAGCGCCTATCCTTAAACCTGAAATGGACCGACTTCGGAGATGCGTCTCCGCCAGCGCCAACCAGTTAGGGTCTTTTCTCCATGTTATTCCAATTGTGGCGCATAAATGTGCCTTCTCTCCCTTTTCGAGCTGTGCCTGTTGACAACTCTGGCCCTGGCAAAATGTTTCGGGCACACCTTCGCAGGAACGTGATTCTTTCGAACCATGAGTTCGCACATCAGATGTTCTCTTCAGAGCTGTTGTCTCAGAGGCCAGCACGCCTCCAGGGGCAATTTATTAGCTTGTGCAGTCAGCCAGGTTGCATCTGACCGAGCTTGCACTGAGCCTGTGGCATCAATTCCGGTCTTCTTATCTCCCCCAGCGTTCCGGGATGCCGGATAGTGAGAGGGTTGCCCTGGAAGTGGCGCTGGAAATTGAATGCAGTTGTCCGTTGAGTGGCGACGCTTGAAAAAGATGTTGGGCTCCACACTATACAATTCGACGACAAGACCTTGACGCTGAGCGCCTCTGGCTTTGCCTCTGTCCTCACTGCTGCGGTCTCCTTCATGCGCCATGTGGTATGGTCGGTCTCCAGCCAACGAAGAAAGTGTTCGGGTTGTGCCGTCGGTTAAGAAGAGCGACACGTCTGTCAGCACGCGACACCGAACTCTACCCTGAAGCGACCAAACGCCACAGCTCGCGTCGTCTCTACGATGAACACGATTGTCGTGCTGAATATGTCGATCTGGGCCGACCTCCACAACGCGCCCATCCGCCCCATTGATGCGCTGTCACTAAGGGTCAAGGAAGCAAGGGCTTGTCCTGCTGGCCTGGTACGAGAACACGTTTGGTGTCCCCCGCCTTCCGTATGTGCCAGCCCGCCCGCTTTCGCAAGCTCCGCAACTCCCCCGCCAGCTCAACAATACCCATTCATTACCACTTTGATTACCTCGATCTCGGAGCACTGCCGGAGTGTACCACCTGTCACAGAAGCCCCGGCGGTCGCCCCGAAGAGCACGTTTAGGCAAGGAGCGCCGGTACTTACAACTCTCCGCCCGCGCCTTCCTCCGTACCCGCTTCTTCGAGCTTCTTATCCGCACTTCCGATCGTTAACTCCCTCAACGACCGTATCTGCCTGTCAAAGAAGTTTTTGATCAGCTACGATCTCAATGTGACAAAGTGCTTTCTCCCTCTCGACCTTCCGGATTCAGTAGGTCGAGAATTGGCTACAAGAGTAAGTCAACGTTTGTAAACGCACCATGATCAGTCTGTCGCTATTTTGGCGTTTCCGATCACCATGACTATCCATTTTGTTCGAACATACGTCATGGTATCTCGACAATAGATTCCTGATCTTCTCCGAGTTTCGTCTTTATGTATCCCTCGATCGAGGTGCCATCGCAGCCTCACCTCAGCCTTGCTTCAGGAATGCCTGTGGAGCAGCGAGCTGTCCATCCCTCGTGGCAACTACCGCATTTCCGATTTCCATGGTTCCAGAGTGTTGTACAAACTTGAGACACGGGTATTCACCTTGAGAAGCTGTCGTGTCTCCTCTTCTTCTGGCAGGTGGCTCCCTCCTGACGCGCAAGCCGCCAATTCCCCAGTTACCAGCACAGTCATTTCCTGTCGACAGCCCCGCATTCCGATAACCATGACGCTCCTCATTCACCGTTAACCCAATGGAGCAGGACTCCTGCTTCTCTTCTGCAGTAGGAAGGTGGCTCCCTGGTCTGACGCAGCGCACCAGTTCACTAGTCTTTCGTAGCCTCACACTCGTCGTCAACGCCCCTCAATCCCGATAACCATGACTCTGTCCTCCCCTTTCCTTTTGCTCTTGTCATCGCCATCCAAGCAGCATGTGTGAGATGCCTGGGCCTCGAATCACGCTGAATAGGGAGGCTCGGTTGTCATAGCCAACATGTCGGTAGGTGCTGCGGGCTGGGCGGCGTGAATACGCTCGGCGCTGCCCGACCAGCGCAGTCGACAACAGACGGCTGCTTGTTCAGCAGCGATCGCTGGCACCAAAGTCTGTGTAAAAGGCCAAGTGCTATTCGAGGGTGCAGAGCCGTGTATCGCAGGTTGAGGTAAGGTGTACGTATGCCAGCGCATCAACGTGAGCTTCTGTCCCTATTTGGGGTCACTGCTGTGTATGACCGGTAAGCGCTCGGCCAGTTCGTGGGAAAGGCACAACGCTGTCCTGTCAAGACGCTAGCGGCGCTGGTTGGGCGGCTAATACCGACATATTGGGAACACGTGTTAAGGTGAACAATTGTCATTACTCTTGCACAATGTGCGTTTTGGAGGGGCGTGAATAGTATTCATTCGAATGATTGCATATCAATAGTACAGTAGTGAGTGACACGCCATACCTCTCTTCATCTTGGAAAATGCGAATTGTCTCGAAGAGACGTCACAAACAGTTACGCGGGGTTGACGTTTCTTCACCCCGTCTCCCTTTTTCTCCCCCATGCACCAAACCAGCAAACCATAAAAAGGAGGGGAACGCAATCGCACGCATCTACAAGCTCGAGTCCAAACAATTGGTGCCGTACCAGAGTCTATGCAGTCCACAACATAGCATGCCGTATGACGTCGCGTCGCCCCGTGAAATGTGTGCGCTAAACGAGCCTGCGTAGAGCGCTCACTGCTGCGTCTCGCATTCCTGTGTGTACAGGTTCCCAGCAAACGTGATGTGTTCGTCACCGTCGTGGTCCGCAGCCTTGACAAGCTCTGCGATCTGGACCGCACGCACGATCTGAAGACGTTGAGAAGGAGGAATAGCGCGCTCTGACTCGAGTTCAAGACCGTGTTGCAAGACACCGACGCGCATCATTGCGAGAAGGTTGTGCGCAGCGTTCGAGTGATCGTAAACTCCTCCGAAGAAGGCTGTAGAAGCATCCTTGCCAATCATCTTCGCTAACAGGTGGCGACCTCCGGGGTGCTCATCGAGGAAGGACGACACGTCATGGATGAAGCCGGAGATGAGGATGAGCGGGCGAGTGAGCGACTGCTCCTGGAATGACTCCCAGGAGATGACAGGAAGGTCGTTCGAGCTCTTTGGCCAGGTGATGGCATTTGACTTGCGCTCCAGCTTCTTCAGCTCCATCGTCAGCTGACCCTTGCGGATCTCACCGTCCGGGAAGGTCTTCAGGTGGGAAGCAAGGCCAACCCAAGAGCACACGGCAATGAACCACTTGGTTGGGTCGTACTGGTACCACTTGATGGCATTGCGGTAGTCCATGGGGAACTGGTGATGGAAATTGTGGTACCCTTCACCGATAGTGCAGAGTGCGGTGATGAAGTGATCACGCGGAGTGTGCTTGTCGTCGAAGGGCGTGTCACCAAGATAGTGGGCCAGAGAGTTGACACAGAACGTGGACTGTTTAATTATCAGCATATATGCCATGTATGTACGAGACACAACTCACGTGATGCACGAAGGTCAACCGCGCGGCGCCCGCGAAGAGGAACCCTCCTTTGAAGTCGTTCCACAGCAAACCAGGAATGACACACGGCAAAATGAACGCCATAAGGACGAACAAGGTGAGATAGTTCTGGTGTTGCCAGCGAACGACCGGGTTCTTCCCAAGATCAGAGATATCAGCAACACCAGGCTTCCTGCGAGGCTTGACGAGCATCCACCCGATATGTGACCAGATCAGGCCCTTGTTCGCATCATACGGGTCGAGTTCGGTGTCAGTATACCGATGGTGAGCACGGTGGCCACGGGACCACCAGCGAATGGAACCCTGAGCAGCACCGGCACCAGCAAGAGCAAGTGCGTATTCAAGCGGGGGGGAAGCAATATACGAGCGATGGGCCCAGAGACGATGGTAACCTGTGGCAATTTTTTTGGTCAGATATGTGCGCATATATGCAGGATGGGAAAACGTACCGGCAGTAATGCCTAGACCAGTGACGTAATACCAGAAAACAGAGAACACCGCTGTCTGCCAGCAGAGTTTCGTTGTAAACGCGCCGTAGATAGCAAGCGCCGGGGTGACCGTCAAGATGGCGGTGGAGATATAGTTGAGCTCCTTCCACCAGTTGTGCCACCCAATGGGCGGGAGTGGCTTGACAGTTGCGACCGTGTGCGCAACGTAATTGTCCGGGATGTCTATGTCCACCGGGAGATCATCGATGGGAGTCGTCGGCGGGGAGATGCCAGACACATCGCGGGTGGGCAGACTAGAGGGCTCGCTCCTGGGCGACTGCTTGGGGGTGAGGGGAGGGGACAACTGCGAAGGCGGCGGGGTGCGCTGCCTCGGCTTTTGCACCACCTCAGGGCGGGCAGACGTTGTGGAAGACATGCCGCTTGCTGGATGCCGAGGGTACTGAACGCGTAGAAGGGCGAAAGAAGAGGAGGATAGAGTGCTGGTGAGGGGGGAGGTGACGGGAGTGGTCTGAGACGAGGGAGGAGAGAGAGAGCTCAGTTGGGTATATAACGGTTGGCTGATTTCTGCTGGGGTAGGGGGTAGACCAACCGGGCATGCGGAAGATGGATGTGTTGGGATGGACGGGACACGACGTTTCTTTCCCCCCGACGCGAAGAAAAAACCGGGTGGGGGCCGAGGCGGTATCCCCTTTGTCCGGAAGAAGAAAGTTCACGGCCGGTAAACAGCCTTGGCTGGGCGTGAGCTCTGATGCTCTCCCGTTCAACCCGTTGGGGCGCTTCTTTCCCGTCTCACTCCGGCCCTCTTTCTTCTCTTTCTCCGCACTCCATTCCGCTTTCAGAGCTTGTCGTGATTGAATTGTACTTTGTATAAACGGTGCCAACGATGCTGCAACTGATGCTCTGGTTTTCCCAGTAAGCATAGCAGCACGTTTCAAAATATCACGAGTGCGAACAATTCGCGTCTCACCCAGGAACCCCAACCCACAACTAGGCTTTTCCCAACGTTCGACCCACTCCCTCCCCTACCCGCATCACCCGGTTTGCCCAACAAGTCTCCCGACTCCTCTGTTCCTCGGTCATGCATTATCCCAACCCGCAGTCCCCCATCGCCCATCATTAGCCTGTGTATGTGCAGGCAGAAGAATTATGACGACTCCGATCCGGTCTAGCATCCCCAACGACGGAAAGATTGCACCCGTGGCGCGTCTGTTGGCGTTGGGGTTCCAGGGTTTGTACGTCCACACGTGGCCTATCAGGGTCTGGGGAGAAGGGACGCCCTACCGGCCGTCAGGGTCGGGTGTGCCCGGGTTTCGCCCACTTCGCCTTTTTGGTGCTTTGTTCCTCACTCGATACGCCCACCAGTATCTTTGTGCTGGTCAATCCAACGTCTATTTTTACAGGCGCCCCCAGGAGCAGATAAGATATCGCTCAAAAAGTCTATCCAACCAGAACGCTGACGAGCTCTCTGAGCGACTTTACGCAACGTGCTCAATCCAAGTTCAGGACGCTCAGATGGGAAGACACGTTCGTCATACACCGCCATATTGGTCCTCCTCTGTTCCTTTAACAGTTTTACTATCGCACATCAATGTCAGAATTTCTTTGGAGATCCTCCCGGGGGGTCCATATCTCTGATCCTTGTTCTGCTGAACAGATTGTGAACAGCCCACTTATTTTGCCTTATCTATGTTCCCTTCCATCGGAACAGTGCTGGCGTACCTAACCTGGTGCAAGCTCTCGACCTTCTGTTGCAGCTAACCCAAGTTCTTCCAAAAGAGGCTGCCTAGACTCTCGCAACAGGAAAAGTGTCAAACTAACTCAGCTCCTGGGATAACCCCCTCGCAACATTCCCAACCCACATCTATCGTAACCCGATCCAACCCACTTGAGTTCTAGCAGACGACGAACCTACCTGTTCCCGCTTTCATGCTTCGTTCCACGCAGGCTCTACCATTTCTGAGACTCCTCAATCAAGCATCCTGCGGACATCCCATAGCGGATAGCTCGCATCGAAGTAGTCTTACAGGTTCATTTCCCCAATCCGTCAGGTAATGTCTACTCTGCGGATCACGAGAAAGCCAGGCGCCGTCAACACCATGTCAATGCGCAACACACAGAGTACAATAACAACGCCCCATTCCTCTCTCTCAAGCTGACTCTCCCGCTTCCCCAACCCGGGCACCTCCTCCTCCGGTCCAACCCACAAGCTTCTTCCCCATCAACAGCTCAGATAACGATATCCCGAAAAGGAAGCTCATCCGCTTCACTCACTCACAAGTGGCCAGATCCAGCTGGATATCAATTTCAGAGGTATATGCTACGGCACAGTAGGAAATATAGTGTACTATCCGGGAGACGTGTCCGTGCTTCTGTCTATCCCCTAACCCACTTCCTGCAGACGTCGCCTGCCCCCAGTCCCCTGCCCACACAACCCAGTCCACGTAGGATATATCCGCGGAACACCCAAGGTGAAGATGAAACCCAATCAACGGGGAGAGACGATCTCATGATGTCCGCGGATGTTGATGAACGAGTACTATCCCTCCTTCAGCCTCTCCTGTCCTAGCAAAGCGCAACACTCACCTCAGCAAGATTGGGTTTCGCGCCCATCAGGTTCACATAGACCAGATTTGGCTCGGTCCTGAACGCTCTCAGCCCTGCGCGCTCCAACAACTCCCACCACGCCAGGAAATCCGCAAATGATTGCTTGCTGTCCCACGCGTGGATCTCGACTTGTAGTTGGCCGAAGGGGAGGGGCTTCCCTTGCGCCAGGTAGTGTTGGCAGATCCCAGCGAGAACCTCGAATTCTGACCCTTCGATGTCCACTTTGAGGATATCGATGAAGGAGTGGCCTGTTAAACGCGCGACATATCGATGGATCAGCACAATTGCAAAATCCGCGTCATAAACGCACCGTTTAGCCGCATGAGGGTCTCCACGGTATACACCTGGAAGCTGGGATCGTAGTCCGGCCCATGTTGGTCCTTAGGGCCAATCGCCCATTTGTGGAAATGCGCACGTCCCTGGAGCTCACGCGAGTCGACAATTTGGGGCCCAAACTATTCGTGCGTGAGCTCTTGTAATCGGTTGGAAAGATGAACACGTACCGAGTTGACCGAATAGTCGTACCCGTACACCTGTGCACCTGGGAAGCGCTCCAGCACTGCAGCTTCGAAGGAGCTGTCCGTGCTGACGCCGAAGGAATAGAGCACCGGCGATGGTTTGCGTCCGATTATGTCCATGCCACAGACCCACTTGCCGCCGTCGCCCATCTTACCGATGCGTTCGGTCATGTGCGGGCATTCGAATGAGGGCAGAAAGAAATCCCCTAGCATAAAACACGTTAGATGCATTGAATATTCTGGGGGGAGACGTGCACGTACAGAGGGTGTACTCCGCTCTCCAACCTGACCCGGACGGCCATGGGTTCACACTGTTTACCCCACCAAGGTCGTTCACAAACTTGATCCGATCTCTCACCATCCCCTGATATATCCACTCGCTGTACTGAAGGCGCTCCTCCACTGTTATCGGCCGGTCGTACCCATGACCATTGAACCAGCCCCGTGGCCCGGACAAAACCCAATGTCCGATGAGGATCAAGATGACAAATGCGGTGAGGGCGAAGGCGGCGAGTGATCGTGGACTGTAAGAGGTGAGAGAAGGTTGGGACGACTGAATTCGCCACAAAAGATGCTTCAATTGATTCAAGGCGGACATCCTTGCGGGGACCGTCTTGGTCAGGTGCACGGGATTTGTAAAAGATGGAAGCCGGAGAAGTCGAACAAGTATATCCCAGCACTCTTCGACTACAGTATGAAGACGACGAAAGCAAGATTGCCCAGAGCACGGTGCAAACAGCCTGAGGATGGGACAATGAGGATGTATCCTGAGGCCGGGTTTGGGACAAAACGATGGATGGCTGTGCGTCGCGTTAGGACTTCATTATCCGGTTTAGCCCCGCATCCGCATCTCGAGCTTATGACTTCCCACTCACTGGGTCAAGCAACGCTGCACGATCAACTCACCTTTAGAAAATTATTATGACATTGACCGTCTCGATCGCAATCCCTGCGTCCCACCTTGTTGCGTCTCCGAAAACCCGGTTCGGGATGGGTCGACCGATGCTTCACATTACTGTGGGCGCACACCCTGCTGCGCAGTGATAAGAAAATGAGACAGGATCCAATGGTACGTGATTGAGCCACTCAAGGTCTAGGGATTGGCTCATTCTGGAATCCGTTGCGTGATTTCCGCCTGAGAGGATCTGCCGTGCATGGTGCCGCGGGATGAGTGCACCTCCTCGCCAAAGGTGGTCAATCCCTGCGACGAATTCCAACTGAGGACCTTGGATTCGATCTGAAACAGCGTTCCTTCCTCCAGGCGATATCGACGAAAAGGTCGTTAGTCATTGGTTTCTATAGCCGTTTACAAGTTCTGCTGGTGGGTGGTGTGCTGGTAGTGGTACCGACGAGCTCCTTCATACTCTATGGCCTGACAGCCCAACGTAGCTGAGGGATCGAGCGGCGCCATATGCACTTAAAAAGATGTCAACCGTACACGATAGGTACGCAAAGAAATACAATATGACATATGAAGAAGTGTACGAGATGTCAAGACAAGAGCAGGGGAAGTCGTGAGAAGTCATGTGTAGGTTGGTTTCAAGCAAGTCTGTATAGTTCATAGGATCCATATGTTTTGAGATGAAGGCATTAATGCTATTGAAGCAATTGAAGGACGTGTGTACGATCTCATTGCTCATTGCGCTCTCATCACGTTGGGTTGTGATGACAAAGATGCGCCGCGCGCCAGCATCGCGCTTTTATCCAACCACCATCAACACGCCTATACATACCGTGGGCTGCTACTGAGCATTGTTCACGTGGTGTACCCGACCAACTTCCTCTGGCAACTACACCAATAACGTATCTCGGTGTTTAGGCATTGATCCATTAAGTCAGGCACCAATCCGCGATCCAATCACCTATGTAACAACCTCGCGCACCTGGAGTCTTCGCCCTGCTCTGTTACTGTACACCTCCGAGTATTCCCATACGCTTTTCTTGGAACCGACTACACGGGCACAACTTGAACGTATGGAATCCATATGGTCCCTGTCATGAGAGTCAATGGACGCTCTCAATTAGGTAGCCAATCATATTCCATGTGAAATCCAAATGATCTTGAAGTCTTACCATGTGGAATTGTCAGGGCACCAGCTCATTGCTTGGTCAAGAGACATGACTAAGCCTTTATGACATGGAAGTAGCTGGTATGCCTTGGCATGTGCTGGAACCTGCTGGAAGGATTGGATG